GTCCAGGCAAGCCCGAGTGTGGATTTGCCGTGCCTTTTCGCAGGACCAGTCGAGCGACGCCACAAGACAGGAGCTCTGTCTCTCTGCCCGCTGGCAGCGATCGAGGGCGCTCGCGCTTCACGAGGGCGGCGCGCGTGCCCAGCAGCGACTTTATGGAACAACGCGCACGCACACCCCCCAGCAAGCACCTCACAGGAGCACGAGTGTCACATGCATGTCTCTAGCACCCACGTTCGCAGGAGGGGAAGGCCTGGAGGCCTTGGGCTCGTGATGGCCCCCCGGCCGCCCCGACTTCTTCGATGCGTGGGCCCCAGAGGTCTGGACCTCTTCCCCATAGGGCCGGCTTTTCGCCCCGAGCCTTTTTTTTTGACTGCCCCGAGGCCTGGCGGAGGGCCCCCGGGGGCCGAACAACAATTTGTTTGGAGCTCGGCAGGGAGGCCCCTCCCGCATTTTCTCACTATGTTCGGGCCGGAGGCCTTGGGCTCGCGATGGCCCCCTGGCAGGGCGCCGTCGGCTCCCCCCGGCGCGCCGCCGCGGCCGCGTCGCTGCTGCTGGCCGCGGCCCTGCCGTCGCGCGCCGCGGCGGCGGCGGCCTCGGGCGCGGCGGTCGGCCTGATCGAGGGGACGCTCAACGTCCCTGGGCGCTCCATAAACGGCCTGTTCCTCCATCCTCATCCTCCATCCTCCCCCCCCATCCCCCCCCCCCCTCCTCCTCTCCTCCTCCTCCTCCTCCTCCTCCTCCTCCTCCTCCTCCTCCTCCTCCTCCTCCTCCTCCTCCTCCTCCTCCTCCCCTCTCCTCCTCCTCCTCCTCTCCTCCTCCCTCCTCCTCGTCCTCCTCCTCCTCCTCCTCCTCCTCCTCCTCCTCCCTCCTCCTCCTCCTCCTTCCCGCCATCTCTTCTCTTCTTCCTCCTCCTCCTCCTTCTCCTCCTCGTCCTCCTCCTCCTCTTCCTCCTACTCCTCCTCCTCATCCCCCTCTCCCTCGCCCCCTCCCAATTCCTCCTCCTCGTCGACGGGCGCCGCCGCGGTCGGCCTGACGCTCCACGTCCCAGGGCGCCCTGGAAATCCAGACCCCGTCGCTTTATGACAAAATCATGATGAACGTTTTGTTTTGTTGTTGAACATTATTTATTCTAAAGAATAATTATTGTTGGGCCCCCTGGTGCGCGCCCCCCCTGCGCCGCCTAGGCCGCAGCTACATTTTCATAATTTTCGTGAGGAAGCCTCAGAAAAGAGGGTGTGTACAGGATCCGGTTGTTTTGTTGTAATCCGCTTTCCCTTGCAAAAAACAATAGAAAATGACATTTCTTGTTCTAATATAATCAAATTTCAAGAATCCCTTGCAAAAAATAAGGTAAAGTGGACATTCGCGCGCGCAAGACGAAATCCTTCCAAAACCTTAGTGTTCGCAGCGATTTTAACATAAAAACATCAAAAAACCAATGGTTTTTCAACAAAAAATTGTCAAAATCTCATCCCGCGCGCTCTTGCGGATTCGTAGGAAACCCAACACTTTTTAAACATTTCTGTCAAACGGGCTTTTGCGAGCAACTTTTTCGAACTTCTGCGACAACGGTTGCGCACCTGCCAGGGCCATCATCCCTGTCAAATAATACCATGCGGGACACATTCGTTTTTTCTTCGCGCGCGCACGCCGAAATCTCCAAAAACCATTGGGCTTCTTAAAAACGAAATCTTCCAAAAACCATTGGGACAACCACAACCATCAGGACAACCATCGGGACAACCATCGAGACAACCATCGGGACAACCATATCCTCTCTCTCTTGTGTATTCCCACATCCCTCAGGAATTTGCCCTAAAGATGTGATCAACTATCTTGTGAGTACGTATCATGTGTATCATGTGTATCATGTACCATATGCATCATATGCAACAGATGTTCTGTGGAAGGCTTAACAACTTCTGTGGGTTAACAAGGCTTAACAACTTCTGTGGGTGTACGAACGTAGGCTTAACAACTTCTGTGGGTGTGTACTCCACGCCAGTGTAGTAGCCACGGTCGTCCGCAGGCCACGAAGTGAAGTGTCCGAACGTCATAGGGCGGGAAGCTGGGTGTGGGTGGTGGCGAAGAGTCGTGTGGATATTTGGTAGAGCTTGCACTGCCCCCCCACAAAGTGGGGGTATTGGCTGGCGTCGCATGAAAACCCTGGCACTGGTGAGAACACTGAGCGTTCGGGTAAAGTGATTGTTGTTGTTGTTGTTGTTGTTGTTGTTGTTGTTGTTGTTGTTGTTGTTGTTGTTGTTGTTTCCTGGCTTGTTCCTAACCATCCTGCGGTCATAATTCCTCGTTTTGAAGAGACAGTGCCCCGCGCTCCTCCCTTCCTTCCTTCCTTCCTTCCTTCCTTCTTCCTTCCGTCCTTTTTCTTCCTTCCTCCTCCTCCTCCTTCTCCTCCTCCCCTTCCTGAGGGTAGCCCCGCGCCAAATTAGACATCCGGCGCGTCGAAGAAATCGAGGGGAGGAAAAGGGGGTCGGGATGAGCAGCTGGCCCCGGGGAAGGGATCGAGAAGTCTGGGGGCCCGCGCATGGACGAAGGCCAGAGAGCGGTGGGTGTCTGGGCCGCCTTCGGCACACCACGCCTTCGGCGGGGGGCCAGCGGACGCAAAACGAGGGAGGACGGCGGAATTGCACGCGAGGCATCGACGTGTTTGGATTCAGGGCAGTCCTCGAACTCCTGGACGGGTCCTACTTGCTCGCTATCGCCCGCCCTCGTCTTTGTTCCTTCCGCCTGCACGCCGGACAACTCGTCTCTCGGTTGCCCCGATTGACCTCACGCTGGTGCGGGCTGCCTCTGCCTCGCCGCCGACGAGAACGTTTGGATTCAGGGCTTCTGGTGCTGGCCAGCGCGCAGAAGGACGGGGGAGGGGTGTGTGTTGGCCGTCTGGGGCCGCTGGGATCCGGCGCGGCGAGCACACTTTGAGATCACGGAGCATCGCGACTAGGCTCAAGTCGGGCCTGTCCCTCTACAGGAGGAATATTCACATGGTCAAAAACATAGTATAGGGCCTTTTTCAAAGTGAGCTAATGCTATATATATATAGATATATTATATGTATAAGCTGCTTGTGACCTTGTTTGGGTGTTGTTTGCCTTTTTGAATTTTCGTCCAAAGTCCCCCTGCATGAGGTCATGCCTGACCTGAGACTAGGCCCCATCTTTCTGCTGCAGTTGTCCAAGCCGGATCGATCTGTGACGGTCCCGGGGCACGAGATTATACGCGGAAGCGCCCAGCGTGAACGAGCGGCAAGCGCCCAGATCTCAGGGGAGGCCCTTCCTCCATGTCCACCCGGCGCCGATGGCCTACACCCGACGCGCCCACCGCCTCTGCAGGCCCGTGCTCCCCGGTCCGCACCCCCTGAGTCTCGGGGGCCCCCGAACGGGACGGGGATTCGGGGTCACCGCACGGTTTTGGGACTCGGGTCGTTCTCCGAGGACGTCTCGGGCGACCGGGGCCTCCGAAGCCCCAAAACCGTGCGTGGACGGGCCGTGCGGTGAGGTTTTTTGGGGGCTTTCGAGGTCACCGCACGGCCTGTCACCGCACCGCTTCGGACTCCAAAGAGTCGCCTGGCTTTGAGTCGGGCCTGTCCCTCTGTATAGAGGGAATATCCAAGAACAGTAAAACAATAGTCGGGGGACTATTTTTTGAGTATGTTTGTTTTGTTTGATAGTTTGACAATGTTTTACTTTTCGTCCAAGGTCCCCCTGTAGGGGGACATGCCCGACATGAGCCTGGCTCGGCTGCTCCCGAGCTCGCGGCGCCTCGCAGGAGTGGCCCGTGCGCGGCGTCTGGGGCCGCCGGGGGGGGCGCAGGCACGCAGAGGCCGCAGCCGTCGCATGCCGCAGGCCGCACGATCGGCGAGCCGCGCACCGAAGCCTCGGCAGCCAGCGCCGGCCGACAGGCAAAGAGTCCCCGGAAGTCGGAGCGGCCCCAGAGCTTCCTGTCGTGCTCTGCTCCAGATCCCTTCTTAAACGACCCCCCCCCCAGAAGACCAGACCCTCCTCCAAATGCGACCTAAGATTCCGGACCCCTCTGTTCGACGGGGCGCCTGGATAAACCGGACCCCCTAGACTCCAATCCAAAGAAAGCGCCCTAATAAAGCGGACCCCTGCAGTTACAAAAAGGCGCCTCAAAAAACTGGACCCGGGGGACGATTAATAAGGGATATGGAGTATGGGGGCTCGACGGCAAGTCCCACAGCGACTGGCGGGGGGTCAAGGTGGACGCTTTGTGGCAGGTCTGCGCATTCCGAGATAGACCCAAGCGGGACGAGGTTGATCTTGATACAATTTTCCAGACAAGTCTTTTACCTTGCAACTCGTGGAACCTCCAGCGCGAGTCGAGGGACAGCAGAAGTCCCAGCCGCGCGCAGAGGGGGGTGAGGGGAGGGGGGAGGGCTTCTCAGAAGCACCCCCTCTTCTTAGACGTATTTGGCTTCGTCGCTTGCTCGTGCGCGGATAAACACATTCGCGTCGTTCAACTCGAAACGAGACGTGATCTTTTTTCACGGCAACGGGCTTGTGGCTGCCCGGCGCAGGCATCGCCCCGCCGCAGGTTTCGCTTCGCCCGTCTCGCTTCGCGAAGAGGACCCGGGCGGCGCGAGCCTGGGCGACGCGAACCCCGGGCGAAGCGACCCTGGCGAGGCGAGTCCGAGCGATGCGAATCCGCACGTGCGATGCTCTGTTTTTTCGATGCGGGTCTCCCGCACGTCCCGGCACTTCCCCCTGGCTTGTCATCCCGGGCCACTTTTTTTGGCGGTCCCGGGCCCAGCCGAGGGCCCCTGGAGGCCGAAAAGAGTACAACAGCTTCTCGCGGTTTTTCTTCCCTGGGGGGCCACATGCGAACCCTACCCCTACCCCCAAAGATTTCTGAGGGGGAGGGTGGGGTTCACTCCGCTCGTCAGCTCCCAGAAATCGTGGGGGGTAGGGGTAGGGTTCGCATGTGGCCACCTATTCCCGACGCGAGCACGTCTGAGAACCTCCGGGCGATGCGGACCAGCGCGGGTTGCCCTCGACCTCTGGGTGAGTGTCGCAGAAGAAAGGAGGTCGTCTTGACCGACATTGGCGCGCGAGTTGCCCGCGAAAGGTCCTGCGTAAGCGCCCGTGTTTCCGATGTAGCCTCCCACGATGGCGGCCCGCGTGAGCCACGGCGCAACCCAGATCCCCGACGTCATGTTTTGTCGACAGAGTCGACCCCCCGAGGTCTCGACTCATTTCCCAGTACCAGGCTTTCATGCCGAGTCGTTCTTTTGCTGGTCCTGGGGCTTGGCGAGGGCCTCCAGATTTCAATTTTTTGTCACAAGCCGTCAGTCGTGATTCCCCAATCAGCGCTTGCACTGAAGGGGTCTTAGCGGAAGTTGAAAGATTTGGCCAACATTTTTCGCCGATTTTGGTAGCAGGCTGGGTTCCCGGGTCCCCGGTTCCAGGTTCCCGGGGTTCCGGGCCGATTTCGGTGGGTTTTGGGTTCCCTGCTGGCTCTTGGGTTCCCGGTCGATCTCCTCAGCGAAAACCATCCATTGATTGGGTTTTTCTCTGGTGTATTTTTTTCATGACCCGAGGGGGTCTGTATGTCATCTCTGTGCCATCTCGCTTTGCGCTGCCCAGGTGACGACCGCGCACGCGGAGCAGTTCGCCGTCGACGCCTTCGTGCGCGAGGCGCTCGCCGGGGCGCTCGCCGCCCAGGCCGGCCTCGACGCGTCCGGCGTGGAGGTCGCGATGCGGCTGCAGGGGCGGCCAGAGGCGCAGGGCCTCTCGTCACAGACGTGAACTTTTGGTATTGGGCCTGCTTTCCACCACCACCACCATACGTTGGAGTGGGAGGGGGTCCTCCTCCTCCTCCTCCTCCTCCTCCTCCTCCTCCTCCTCCTCCTCCTCCTCCTCCTCCTTCCCCCCTCCAACTTATGGTGGTGGAAAACAGGCCCATCATTTGGAGCTCCGCGCGGAGTTCTTGGATCGGCGCTGGGCCCCTCTGGCGGTGCCGCCCGGCGCGCCAGGGAAGGGGCTGGGCGTAGATCCAAGGAATCCTCGCGGACCTTCACAAGCTGATGTTTGTGGCGTTTCTCTTGCTCTGAAGTAGCCAGTGCGTTGGAGCATTCTTCGGCCTCGTCGTCGTCGTCGTCGTCGGCGGCGGTGGCGGCGGGCGGGCGGGCGGGCGGGCGGGCGGGTCGGGCGGGCGGGTCGGGCGAGGGGGCCTTGCGGGATTGCTCATGAACACGCGCTGACGCCCCAGAGGCAGCGGGCGCGGTCCGCGGGGAGGTCCTCGTGAGCTACAGGACGGGGCGGCGCTAAATCCTGGGGCGTTCAAGGCAGGGCTCCGCCTTCGGCGGAAGCCAGCGAAAGTGAAGCGGCAGCGGCTTCGCTGGCGGAAAAGAATGCGGCGTCGACATTATTGGGTCCACGTTTTCTGCAGTCGGATCATGTCCAGGCGGAGCTAGGAGGCTCCATCTGGTGGGTCTCCAACAGGACTTGGCCTTCGGGCGGCGCTGACAGATCCAGCTGGGGCTGGCTCAGTCGGCGCCAATGGGCTCCGTCTGGTGTGCCTCCAACTTGCCTTGAAGCAACGCTGAGCGTAGCTGGATTAAGCCAAGTCGGAGCCAGGGGCTCCATCTTGTGGGCCTCTAACCAAACTTGGTGTTCGGGCAGCGCTAGGTCCAGCTGGGGCAAGTCAGGTTGGAGCCAAAGGTGGGCCTCCAACCAGACTCAGCCTTCAGGCGGCGCCAAGTCCAGTTGGAGCTGGTTCAGTCGGCGCTAGGGGGCTTCATCTTTCTGGGTGACCCCCACAGGGGGTCCAGCTGAAGGGGGGTGGTGCAATAGGTTTGGGGCAATTGTATTGCAAATGTATTGCGTCGGAGAATTGTATTGCATCGAATTGCAAGTAATGTATTGCACGCGAAAATCCAGCAATACACTTGCGCCCCGGAATGTATTGCACGCCCCAAAATGTACTGCAACCCTACAAGCCTATTGCACCAAATCTATCGCACCACCCCCTTGTTGCTGGACCCCCTGTGGGTTAACCCGAATCTTGCAGGCCTCCACTGGACGTAGCCTTCGGGCGGCACTACGGTCAGCTGGGGCAGGTCCAGTCGGCGCCATGGGGCTCCGTCTGGTGGGGTTCGGGCTCCGCCTCTGGGCGGCGCGGAGCCCAGTCAGAGCAGGTCCAGTCGGAGCCGGGGGGCTCCATCCCTGACTTTCCAGAGTGTTGAGGAATAGCCCTCCAGACCTATACACCTATTTGGCCTGCTTAAAACCTCGACAGGAATTGAGACGCCAAGGTCCGGGTGCTTTTTTTAGCCATCGCGGAAGGTCAGGGATTTGGTGGGCCTCCAACTGGACTTGTAGCCTTCGGGAGACGCCGAGTCCAGCTGCAGCAGGTCCGGTTTGAGCCGAGGATGCCCAGTTGGACGGGGCTAGGACGAGAGGATCATCCGTTGCAGAGCGTTCCGGGGCGCCCTCAGAGCGTTCCGGAAGGCTCTTAGAAGGCCGCGGCGCCCGAGGCATCCTCCAGAGCCGCCGGATCTCAGAGACTCTCGATGTATCCTAACCCAATTTGATCCTCGATCGTCGTAGCTTCGGCTTACTCAGCCCGCTGGGCCTCCAGCCGGACCGGGGCCTCTCCCCGCAGGATCGGGGGCGAGAGCCTGCGCGGGCGCCAGGGCGTGGTCTCCGCTCTCTCCGGGCTGAGCCCCCCCGCCGTGGGGGAGGCGTTCGCCGCGCAGCTCGCGGAGGTCGGCTGTGCACGCAGCGTCAGAGGGACCTCTCGCAGGAGCGACCTCTGGTGTGGGCGCACTGTCGGACGGGGCCAGGGCGAGGCGAAGTCCGCGGCGTGCAGCGCGCTGGCACGCGCTCGGAGCGCTCCGGAAGGCTCCGAGGACGCCGCGGCGCCCGAGACACCCTCCAGAGCCGCCGGATCTCAGAGATTCTCGATGTGTCCTCGCCCGAAGTTCCCCCGCGGCTCCCGACGGGCGCGCACCGCAGGTCACCCTGGCCTCGGGGTCGCTCTGGCATCCAGCCTTGCGGTCGGGCCTGTCCCTCTACAAGCATTTTTTTTGGTTTTGAGTATTTGTTTGACTATTAATTTTCCGCTAAAAAATCCGCCTATATGGGGGACATGCCCGACCTAAGCCCAGCCCGCGAAGGTCGCGCACAGCCAGCAGCTCCCCGGGCTCTTCGACGCCACCGTGGAGGCCGCCCCGGACCCGCGCCTGCGCGAGGTGCCCCCCGGCGCGCTGGAAGAGCCCGCGGCGCCCCTGCCCCTGGCGGGCGCTGGGCCTGGTGCGCAGCTGGCGCGGGCGGCGAGGTCTGCGATTGCTAAGGGTATGGTCCCTCGGCCACGCGCAGAGGGGGGTAGTCGGGGTGGACAGGACCCCCACCTTGGCACGTCGATTGGTGACTTATCCGTTTGCGGTTCTCGAGAGGGCGCCGCGGCCGTCATTTTCCAGGCTTGCGCCCGCCAGGTTTGGGCCCGAGGTCGTTTTCACTGTGCCACGTTTTGCCAAAGGGGGTTTTGTCCATCCCCGAGGCGGTGGGGAGGGGTGGAGGCTTCTGAGAGGCACCCCTGCTTCTCAGAAAGCGCGGACCTTGTAGGTATAGATTAAGGCCCGGGGCCCGCGTCGTCTAAGCAGCAGCCTCCTCCTAAGAAACCCTCTCCCCTCCCCCTGCCCCCCTCTGCGCGCGGCCAAGACCCCTAGGTGTGGCTTGCGAGTTCGTTGAGGAATGTGCCCAGGAGGCTGCAGACCCTGGAGGATTCCTTCATTCGTGAGGGTGACTGTGATATCCATGGCCGATCCGCGATTGGAGCTCCACTGGCTTCCAGACTTTGGATTCCTTATCTAAGGGTTCCTTGTCCAATGCCCCCACCGTGTGGTTTGCGATCGGCGCCATTGGGGCCTGGGGAGCACGACGCTGTCCTCATCGGGCCTCCTCGAGATGCCAACCGAATAATGTTCTGAGAACTTTTCGTGGTTCGCACGAAAGGTTCTAAGAACATTTCTGGCCGAGACTGTCTTGTTTTAACACGTCGGGCTTATGTTCTAAGAACATTGTTTTGTTTTTAGAAAATTGGGGGCTCTAATAGCATGTCGTGGTAGGCCTACAGGATTGTTGGGACGGTCGGTCCCTGCTCAGATTGCCGACCACACCCTTCGGAGTCGCCGACGAGGGCGGCGGGCGCCAGCTTCTGCTGCATGATGGCGGCTGACGTCGAGGATTCGAAGAAACATAGCAACATTAACATGCGGGATGTCGAAGAAACATAACAACATATCATGAACAATATTCGAAGATATTCGACGTCGAGGATTCGCATTTTTCCAGTGCGAACTCCAGTTGCGTCGCAATGCCGTACTCTGGTCGATGTGCAGCCGTGGGGGCCTATAAATGTGCAGTCAAAGTCGGTTTCCTCGGTGTGGCGCATTCCAGAAGGGTGCAAGTTCATTCCTGGGCCTCGGCTCTGCACCGTGAGGAGTCAGGTGGACTTGAAGAATAAGCAAAGTGAGCATACAGTTTCGGTATGATCGAACTGTTTACGAAAAACATGATTGCTTTCCGAATTTCATAATCAAGGGGGGGAGTCACAAGCTTCCAAGACGAGCAATTTCAGACCGCCCCTCGACCAATGATGAGAGGGTGGCCTTTTGCCCAGACCCTCCGGAACCCTCCAAGTCAGCTCAAATCAGAGCCCCCACAAAACAGCCCCCCACTCACGATGAAATTCGGAGGTCAACGACCGACAGCATTCCCGATTTATTCTGAGCAATGCTCGCTGCCGGTGTCTCCGCGGACGTTGTCCATTTGAGATAGATGGACGCCTGCCCAACCGCGGCCGCTGTCGGTCTGGGACAACACTTGTGTGTTGGGCATCGTATCCATAGTTTCCGCTCCCATTTCGCAGGTCCGCGGGACTTTCTTGGATCCCCGCTGGACCCCCCCTCCGGGCGGCGCCTCTGGCGCCGCCCCTGGCGCGCTCCGCGCGCTTGGGAGGGGGTCCGGTGCCGCTCCGAGACATTCGCGCGGACTTCCAGAAGCTTCTGTGTGTCTCTCCTTGCTTCTCAGGACACCTGCGGGACCTGCTTCCCCATCGCCGCGGCGGCGGCGGGCAGCGAGTGCGGCGAGTCCCGGGCGAGCTGCCTGGCGTGCGGGGGTGGGGCCGCCTGGTGCGCGTCGGGCCACAGCGAGGCCGAGTTCCCGGGCCCGTCCGCGGGCTGGGGCGTCGTGGCGCCGGCCCTGGCGGTCGCCACCCTCGGCGCCGCCTGCGCCGCGGCGGTGCTCCTGCGCAGCAGGGCGGGGCGGCTGGCCGGTGGTGCCCAGGCCGCGAGGCCGGAGTTCCCGAAGCCGACCTCGAGCGTCCTGGCCGGGATCGGCTCTCCCTCGCCGACGAGGACCGGGGGTCGGGACGGTCGAAGTGGGCTCGGTGGGGGCGTTGGTTGAGGAGTGCGACCAGGATGCTGCAGACCCTGGAGGATGCCTTCTCTGATGAGGGCGGCGGAGATAGCCATGGCCAAGCCTCGATTGGAGTTCCACTGGCCTCCAGACCCTGGATTCCTTATTGAAGGGTTCCTTATCCAATGCCCCCACAGTGCCGAGGCCGGCCGGCAGCAGTTCTCGTGAAGGGGGTTCGTTTTCGGCGTCGCCGCGGTCGCTGTCCATGAGAGAGGTGGCCGCCTGCCCAGCAGCGGCCGCTGTCGGTTTTAGTCAACGCTTGTTGTGGGGCACCGTACCAATTTTTTCCGTACCCATTTCGGGCGTCCAAGCGGTAGGCGCAGACCTTGGCACGAGCATGCATTCCCGGAGGCCCGCGCGGGGGTCTCTTGGGATCGGCGCTGGAATCCCCCCCCCCTTTGACTGCGTCCCCGTCGCCAGTCCAGGAGATTTGAGCGGACCTCGAAAGCAAGTGTGTGGTTGTGTGTGTGTTGCCTCTTTCTCCCCCCCTCCCTCCGCCTCATTCAAGCTTCGCGCGGCCCGCTTAGCTTCGACCAGAAGAGGTGCGTTCTGGACCCGCGGATCAAAAAAGTGCGTATTTGCCTGCCTCCGGAGGAAGGGCCTGCTGTGGCCGGAGGCGTGATGGAGGGCCCCCGAGCGCCGAGCCCTTCTGGAGCGAGGCCGCCCGCCATCGCCGGCGCGGGTGGGGGGAAGGCCGGGACGCGTGGCGACTGGATCCTTCGCGAGAGGCGTGCTCCAGGGCCTCGCGGCCCATGGTCCATGTCGATGCGCTCGATCCGATTCGATATCGATCCTGGCTGGCCCGATCCTCAGGAGAGGAAGAGATACACGCCGGTCTTTGAACGTGGGTGTGTCTGGATTCCCATTCGAGCGACTTTCTTTTTCAAGACACGATCTGCTTGTGCTGTGTTTTGTTGTTCTCTGGGAGGGCCTGAGCTCAATCTACTTTATCCGCCTTCCTATAGATTTTCCGACCGACGTGTACCGATACCGCCTTTCGTCCTGGAGAGTCCTCGTCACCACTGCTGGATTCTCTTCGGCATCCGGGGGAAGGTCCGAGCAGTAGCGGTATCGGTACAGTCGGGGCCCTGAAGAAGGAACCCTTGTCGTTGGGGAGGGGCTCCGCGTTCCTTAAGTGTTTCACAGCTTGCCCCAGGTTTTCCTTCTGTTTTCGACAGGAATCGAAGGTTAACTTATTGAAAAGAGGGGCCTCGTTCCTTATTTAGAGTTCCTTAGGTCAACGCCCCGACTGTACTTCGCTGTCTCCCCAGATCCGATTCGGTTCCGATGTTCAGATTGCCCCCATTCGGCACGATTATTGTACGGCGCTGTTGTGCATCCTGGCGCACCCGATCCGCTTCGGTATCTCGACTCCGTGCCGACGAGCATTCCGATTCGGTCCGACGTCCCGATTTGAGGCTGACTGACCCTGCCCTTCCCCGGGGGCGCTTTCCGCCCCGGACAATTTCTGAGATTGTCTGGGGAGCTCGACAGCGGCTTGCGCAGTCTGAAATGGTCGAATGCTTTTGCCAGTGTGGGCCCAAACAGACTTCTTGCAGAACTCGTCCAAGCTACGTGGTGCAAGCAACCTGAGGCAAGCTATGCCGTGGAATTTGAGGGAGTTTCTGTCGAACTCTCGTCATCCTGACCCCGGCGCGCGCGAAAGTCGCCTTCCGACGCGCAGGGACCATGTCTAGCGATGCGCCGGGCGCGCCGGGCGCACCGGGCGCGTCCCCATCCGGCGCCCTCGCTCAAGACATCCTCCCCAAATCGCCCCACAGGCCCCCCAGGGAACATTTCCGGCTGGGCGTGTCCCCATCCGGCGCCCTCGCTCGAGACGTCCTCGCAAAGGCGCCTCACCCTCGTGATCCTCACCCTCCTCAGTCTCATTCTCATGAATCTCACTCTTCTCCTCACCCTCCTGATTGTCGTTCTCGTGATCCCCGTCAGCTGATCCTCACTCTCCTGCTCCACATACTCTCCCGACCCTCACCTGAGCCTCACCCGCGTGACCCTCAGTCTCCTGATCCTCACCCTCGTGAGCCTCACACTCCTGATCCTCACCCTCCTGATCCTCACCCGAAGAACCACCGCCGCCCGCTCATTCTCACCATCGTCGTCGAGAAAAGGCACACGCCCCTTCTTCTATATACAGGAACTCGAACTCCCAATCGACCACAGGGCGGCGGCTAGTATCTTCCGTGGTGCAATCTGCCTGGGGCTAGCTATGTGATGCAAGCTGTGCGATGCAAGCTATGCGGTGCAAGCTGTGTGGTGCAAGCTGTGTGGTGCAGGCTGAGTGGTGGTGCGAGCTATGTGGTGCGAGCTATGCGGTGTAAGCCACGTGGTGCGAGCGAAGTTTTGCAAGCCATGCGGTGTAAGCTGTGTGGCGCGCAGGGTGCCAGGCGCCCGGAGCGCCGACGAGGCGCCCACGGGCGGGGACCTTGGCGAGAGCGCCAGACGCCCTCCCAGCACGAGGCGGCCACGAGGCGACCACGGGCGGGCACCGGGCGGGAACCCGGAACCCCCGTCCAGTTTCCTTGGAAGACGACAGGTCGGGACCCCTGAGGAGGCACCGTTATTGGAGGAGCAGGAAAGGACCAGCCAGGTATCGAAGAGGCCTGCGGCGAATCACCGCCGCCCTTTGCCCTTTGGAATCGCCCGTGTGGCCGAGCGTTGTGGCAAGAGCTCTGCCAAGTATCGGACCACGTGTTCCCCCAGCCGTTGTGGAATCCCTTCGGGGAACACTTGGGGAGGATGGCGGGGAAGATCACGAAGAGGATGAGGAAGAGGAGTAGGGCGTATCTGGGAGGCTCTGGGGGCACTTTTGGGGCCTCCTGAGAGCTTCCTGGGAGCCTCTTGGAGGCATCTTGGGGGCCTCCTTGGGCCTCTTGGGGGCCTTTGGGGGCGTCTGGGTCGTTCCTGGCCCGTCTCACGCCGTCGGAAGCCGTCTTGGGCGCCTCTCTGGGCCGACTTGGGGCCCTCTTGGGGTGATCCAGGGCCGTCTTGAGGGCCATCTTGGGCGTTCTTGAGGCCTCTTGGGCTGTCTTGGGGCCATCTTGGGTGGGGCCGTCTTGGGGGCCTCGTCGGCCCTTCTGGGACCATCTTGGAGGCCTCCTGGGCGATCTTGAGGCGATCTTTGTGGGCTCTTGGGCCGTCTCGGACCCTCCCAAGTCCGAAAAGGAGCAAATGCATCCTTCAACAAACTAAGGAACATCATTGATTTTGGCCTCTCCAGGCCTTCTTGGGGGACCTCTTGGAGGCCTCTTGGGCCGTCTTGGAGGCCTCTTGGGAGCCTCTTGAGCCGTCTGCCGTCATCTTGGAGCCATCGTGGGCCGCCTTGGAGGCTTCTTGGGCAAACTTGGAGCCATCTTAGACGCTCTTGGGCCGTCGTGGAGGCCATCTTGGACCATCTCGGGCGAACTTGAAGGCCATCATCTGGAACGGCAAACTCAGTTTGCAGCCACCCGTGGAAGAGCCTTTCTGGTGGCCGGCGCGCTGGGCCGAAGCCCCGGGGGGGAGTTCTTTTGGCAAAAGAACCCGGGCCAAGCCGCATAGGGTCCAGCACGCCAGGCACCCCTGTGGAAAGCCAGCAGGGGGCGGCGGATCGAAGATGCCTACGGCGAATCAACGCCGCCCCCCGCTTTTTGGGAAGCGCCTCTGTGGCCAAACGTTGGACCCCAGCTTCGCCAAGCCATCAGAGCATGCGTCCTCCGAATTAATCAGTAGGGCATTCGGGGAACGGACGTGGGATAAGGAAGATCAGGTGGAGTGGGAAGAATAGCAGCGGAGAAAGACGAGAAGAGGGAGCGGAGGAGGAAGAGACCTTCTGGGGGCCTCTTGGGTCATTCTTGGGCGCTCCTAGGAGCTTCCTGGTGGTCTTTTGGAGGCCTCTTGGGGGCCTCCTTGGAGCTCTTGGGGCCCTTTAGGGGCTTCTTGGGGGCTTCTTTGGCCGTCTTGGGGGCGTCTTATGGGGCTTCTTGGGCTGTCTTGGAGGCTTCTTGAGCGGACTTGGAAGCACTTTGGGCACCCTCTTTGGCAGTCTTGGAGACCATCTTGGGCCCTCTTAGGCCGTCTGGGAGGCCATCTTGGACCATTTTGGTCGAACTTGGAGGCCTCTTGGGGCTGTCTTGGAGGCTTCGTGGGCCGTCATGAGGGTATCTTGGAGGACTTTAGGGCCATCTTGAGGCGATCTTGGGGGCCTCTTGGGCCGTCTTCGGCTGTCGGAAGGCCGAAAAGATGCTAATGCCAAAATCCTTCAAACACCTCGGGGGAAATCAATGATTCTGGCCACTTCGGGCCTTCCTGGTGGACCTCTTGAAGGCCCCTTGGGCCGTCTTGGACGCCTCTTGGGGGCCTCTTGGGCCGTCTGGGGCTATCCTGGAGGCTTCTTGGGCTGACTCGGAGCCATCTTGGACCCTCATGGGGCGTTTTTGAAGCCGTCTTGGGCCATCTGGAGTCCAATATCGACATTTTTTGAGGATGTCCCTAGCGAGACGGCCGTTGGGGAGGCGCGGCAAACACTTTCCAGGGATGCCGGCGGCAC